AGACACAAATATTCACCTAACGGAATAAGAAAGGCTGTTGGGGTTTTTCTTGTTGGAGCAGAATTTATTTATTTTTATTTTTTTTGCGTGCATTTTTTTTTTCCATCAGAAGGATATTTTGTTGTTGATATTAATGATTCTCAAGCCATTTAGCATTAAATTGCACACCTATTCTACTTCCGACGGCGTTGTATTCAATTTTTTTGCAAACATATGGTTCGAAACCAATTTACAGTTACCAGATTATGATCAAAAACACGATTTAAGAGCTTGATTGTTGGGATGATGTAAAATATATATGTAAAAAGTGCATAGCTGATGATTAGCGACAACGAAAAAGCCGACTTCATGCGATATAGCTATAGCTTCAAACTAATTTGTGCTCAAGGATTTGTAAACAGAGCTTCATGAAATATGAGCATTTACGTATGCATGATCAATGTATTACAAAAGACGCAAATGACAAATGGAAAGGAAACCTTTTTTTATTTATATCGTATCCATTGAATTTGATCTGCTGCTTACCGTGCGCTCATCGTTCAAAAATGTAATAGTGTGAAACTGAACGACAAAATTCAAACTGCATTGACATTCGCATAAGACGAGAACGAACGAAATCAAATAAAATGAAATCTAATATTTTGTGTGTTTGCGCTTCAAGAGTTTTTGTTGTTTTTGTTTTTGTTGTGTTATAAGGATCATAATGGCAGGCAGTGGCAAGCATGCGAAATGTTCAATGAATTTTCAATGTTAAAGTGTGTTGTTTCCCTTTTTTTACATTCATCGTATTTACGGAAAGTGCAATTTTAGCTGCATTTTTGCGCTTAGGTCAGAAACTCTAGTCTGTAGAATGTAATCAATGCATTTTTGAATCGGAAAATCGAATCGGATATTGAGTGTGACGGTTTATTTGTGGCATTCGCAAAGTAAATGTGTCAATCGATTACAATCATCGATAGCTATTCCTATTATTCTTTTACAATATTACATCTGGATTGATTCAAGGTTCTCAAATTTAACGTTTGTGCGAAATGCTTCATCTTCATGATAAAACACACACACACACACACACACGATTTGTGCATGTAATTGAATACGATGATGAAAATTCTCAGGGTTGTTGTTATTCATGCGTTTGTCTGTCGGTCTCACGGGCAACATTACCCGTCGGTAGCTGTAAATAGTTCGAAAGAGATCATCATTGTCTTAATGTTACAAAACGTCACTTTTCATCAACGTATGCAATAAATACATGCATATGAAGAGAAAAAAATACCTTTTCATATCTCTTTGACCCGATGAATATCAACATAAATTTTTCTTGTTGTCATTCAGTTGTAATAAATTCGATTCCATTCAAGTTTCATCCCCTACGTTGCATTTCAAATGGACACTTTTCAATCCATTAAAAAACTGTGGGCAATCACACACAATATTCAAAGAATTCTGTTGTTTTCTTTCAAATTTCATTCTGGGCAATAAATTTTTAGACTTAGCATGAATGCATCAGACATTACAATCATATTGAATTTTATGTTCACTTTTAATTTATGTGATTATTTGATTTTGCAAATCGATTCATTGAATCGGTAGAAAATCGGCGTTTGAGAAATATATAGACAACAAAAGACGTAACACAGTTGGAGAGATTCTTTTTTTTCTCTCTTCTGTGTGTAAATGACTTGAAAATGGGTTCTCTTTCAATTTTTAATATTTTTCATTTGAAGGTGGAAGGCGATATTAGTGACTTTTATCCTGCACACATTCGATGTAGCATTGAAATGAAATTTCAGGCGACAAGAATGACTAGCAATTACCACTGTTTTTATTGTCATCAGTTGAGATGAGTGAATTGGCAGCATTTTTATAATGTTTTACATTTGAGCGCAATGTACAATATTTTCATGCAATTCATGCGTATATATAAAAATGTGTGTTCATATATTTGCGTTTATTTCGTCCATTATTTTTGATTGCTTTAAATTTAAAATGATTCGGAACTGCGATTAGATTTACACAATCAGAGAAAGAGAGAGCGAAATGCGCTGCAGCCCATAGCAAATATTCGAATGAATTGAAGTGGTTTCATTATTGTATTTAATATCATTCCGCTGATGGAATACGACAGAATGAATGCAGAAACAACGACGATATACACATTTTGACATTTCGTGCCGTTTATTTCACTTCCATATATCTCACATAATCCATTTAATTGTATTCGATTTAAAAATTGCTGCAAACCAATTGATGAACATGTTCAAGCTAATGTTTTAAATTGCAAACGGACTTTGTTTTTTATATTTCAAAAGAGAGCAGAACGAATGCATGGCATACAATGCTTGTATTTTATTTTCAAATTTTTTTTTTTTTTTTTTTTTTACATTTTATCAAATCATTTAAAACCGAATCTAAATAAATTCGAAGGATTTTTGTTCAAATGAAGTTGAAATAGTTTGTCAACGGTGATTGAATTGAATGACAATAAATGAGCGGGATGCATACAAATCAGAAATCGATAAAGCTATTGAAATAAATCGCCTGTGCCATCATCGAAAATGCTATTTTTCTTGTGGATATTTATTCGATTTTTTTTTTGTTGTTGCTTCTTCTCTCTCTGTCTGTATATGGCTGAACATGTATTTGTATTGTGTGCTAACAAAAGAATTGTCGCGCTCAACATCATGGCAGCGACAGCAACAGCAGCAGCTCAAACAAATCCCATTAATTTTGGGTGTCTGTTGCGTATGCGGTTGAATGCTTATTGCAAACCGAATAAAATCTCGATTGTGTAAATGCGTTTTATGTATATATGTGTATAATGGTTGCAAAAAGCATTATAATGAAAATGGAAAAAAGGCTCAAAGAAAAAGAGAGAGATAGAGGGAGAGAGGTGAATGAGACTGAGCTGAAACAGCAGGCCAAATCTATAATACGAATGCCACACATTAACAAAAACACAACGAAAATAAAAATAAATTGCATTTTATATGGCTTTCAATTTTTGAAGGATTAAAAGTTGATGGGACTGTGCGTGCGATATAGACGCGTCTGATCTCGCCAACCAATGCCTGCATTCGATGATGTATTATCCGCTGCTGCTGCTGCTGCGCTTGCAGCGATTATGTGCAAAAGAATATAATTTATGGATCGGGCATACAATGCAGCACGCTAAGGCGACATTTCTAATATTCGGGCCGTGCATTTTCATTTAATTATTAATTATTAACACACACACACACTCACATTGAATCATATCAGCCTAATTCCGAGAAAAACTGTTACACCACATAAAAAAATGTACATTATTAATACTGCATTAATAATCTGATTGAATTCATAGTTTTTTTAAGTTTTCAATCACATTTGGTATGATTTCAATGTACATTTGGTTTTTCTACGTAATTGATTTTTTACGCATCTGTTTCTTTCCATGTAGCGCGATTGTGATTGACGCGCATAAAATATATATAAAAAAAAATTGAAGTCAAAACGTTCTTAATCATGTAAAACGACATTGAGAGCGAGAAAGAACTGATACAGAAATGAGAATGACGAATATCTGAACAAGCTGAAGAAGAACAACAGACAAAGCAAATTAACAATACCAGCCGCGAAATTCGTCGAGACAAGGAAGAATCCTTTTGTTATAACTGTTTTTTGTGTATGGATCGAGTCGCACGTGGTCGATTTTGATGTATGAATTCTGCGGTCGTTGAATTTGGCATGTGAATTGAATATTTTTTTTATTTCGGTCATGTTTGCTGTTTTTTTTTTTTTGCTTTTCTTTTTGTTGTGTTTCTGTTATATTGGTAAATATAACCATGGCGCGTGCTCCCTAAATTCACTAGTATGTGCGAAAGAATTAACTGCAGGCCATAAACATGGTCTAGTTATGAAATTATTTGTTGCCTTTGAAATGTTCGTTGCCGAAAGTGTGTTTTGTTGCCTTTTTTTCGCAACCCATTTGCAAATAAAAACTTCTTTCGATGTGATTAAACGGCATTATCTGTATTTCTCATTGCCGAGATTTTTTCCATCTTCAAGCATTTTCTTCAATAAATTCGATTTAAGGACGGTAACACATATTTTTTGATCATAACGATTAATTTCAGTAAGACATTGTGTTGTTTTAAACAACTTGTTTACGATATTAAAAAGAGGCGAGAGAGAAAAACCGCATTCAAGACAAACCCGATGGACGGGGCAAAAGGTGCAAAATGAAGAAACAAAATAAAATGTGGAACGCGCGTAGATATATTGATGGCATTGTTGTTATGGTTGTGTGGTTTTTATGAATGCAATTTCCAAAAATCACATGGTATACACTCGGGCCCATTGACGTATGGGATCGCTTTTGTACGTACATAAGTTTTTACCTTGATTTGAGATGAATTGTATTTGTGTTCGTTTGTCTTTTTTGTGTGTTCTTTGTTTTTTTTTTGTTTCTCTTCATTCCTTCCTTTCCGTTTTGATTCGTTAAATATATTTGGATTCGGCTGTGAACTATCAGCTGGCACATTTCGGATGGAAATTCAATGCATGCTCGGCACAAGCCATACGTCTGCTGTATGGCTGCGCTATTGTTTGATATCGGTTTTATTTTATTTTTTGTTGTTGTTCTTATTCCTTTTTTATATAGTATATAGTATAGCAACTACACACGGTGCGTTTTTGTCTTTGTATACCTTAAAATTCAGTCAACTTTTTTTACACTTTGACGTTTTGCACCTTGATTCGAAAATGTTCTTCCGACGTTTACGATAGAATCAATTCAAAAACAAATATAAAATGCAAAGCGAATTGAAAATAAAAAATTAACAAACACAAACAAAAAATAAAGATGTAAAACAAATCTAAATCGAGATGACATTTATGACTAAATGAATGCAATAATTGAGCATGATTCGTTCATGTGTTTTGTGTGATACGAATTGTTCCAATGAGCTGCTTTTCGTCTTTCTTTTTTTTTTTCATACATTGAATGTGCAGATACTCACTTTTTTGTCGGTCAGTTTTTCGCAACGACGTTGCTTGCAAATCTGATGACTTTTATCGTTACGGCACGGTGCACAATCGCCGCAGTTGTCTTTCTTTTGACAACCGATGCATTCACCGCAACGCTTACGTTTCTTTTTTGTCTGAAATGAATGAAAAAAAATACACAGAAAATAAATGAATAAACGAATGCTCAGACGCATCGGTTCAAATCACAGAATAGCATTTAATTGAACCCGCACTCAATGCACTTTTTTGCTCTTATTCTTAAACATTTTTTTGTTTGAATTTTATTTTATGCACAAAATATTTGAATGTTTTTTTTACCTGTTTTTCGCCATTTGTTTCTTCTTCGCCCATTCCAATTGCTGGACTTTTGAAGCTGGCCGTACTTGAGACTGCAGCCACTTGGCCCGAATTGCCTTCGCCGGTCTCCATTGCACTGCTTTCGCTTTCAGTGCTCGATTCTAACGAACTGGCACGCATTTTTCTTCGATCCTTTTTACGCGCATCTGTTGATTTAACAGAGAATTTCAATTCACCTATATCGATAAATTCTTTAAAATATTCGGTTTCATAGTGTTCAATAACAACAAAATAAAAGAAAATAAAAAACATAATAAAAAAATGAAGAAAAAACCACAATACAGCAACTTCAATCCATACAAAAAAATCAAGTGTCAAAATACTTACACATCCTATATATAAAATTCATGTTTATAAGAATACACTTACAGTTTTCTCATAAACGTCAATTTTATAACGGATGTGTAAGCACTTTGACAGATAATTTCGATATGTGATAGTAATTATGTAAGCTTACCATTACTGTTGTGTCGCATTGGTGAATCGGACTTTTCAATTTTGCCATTATTATGATCGAAACCATTTTCGATCATTGGATTTTGGAATGATGTGTGATGAAGTCCATTTTTTAATTCATAATTGGCTGGTTCACTTTTCAAAACGGTAACCACATTTTGTGGTGGCGGTGGTGGTGCTGCATAAGTTGTAATCGGTTGATACAATTGAATATGACGCTCATCCAAATACTGTTGTTGAATGGTTGGAATATCACGCGCTTGAATTGGTGCTGGAACTAGTGGATACACTAAAATGTATTTCGTATTTTGGATGTGTGTGTACGTGTGTTGAAAATGTTTTTAAAAATGCTTGCCTAAATTCGACGCACTTATGGCACTTTGCTGACCACATCGTTTAGGCAAGCATATTTTTAAAAATTAAATACTCACCATATGGGCGCGAATTAACAGCGGTCAATGTGTGAAAACTTGGGCTTGATAATGGTGTTAAGCCCGTTTGAAGTGGATTTATTGGCGTCAGTTGTGTCAAAGATGTATTTCCGCCGGGCGATGCATTTGCCGCCGAATTTGGTGACATCGGTACTGGCACAGGCGTTACCTGTGGCAGACTTGGTTCTGGCATCATATTTGATTCAGCATAGCTGTGAAATTGTGATTGAAACGATGGAAGTTTCGAGAATGGCTCGAAACCTTTCTCCTTCGTTTCCATTTCCCACGGTCGTGTATAGTTATTGCTCTGTGATGTAATTACATCGGAACCGGATCGATCTCGATCGTAATAGTCCCACGTTGGATCCAGTTCGCTGGTAAATGTCGAAAACGATGGTAAACTTGTATCAGTGCCGTCTTCGGTTGTCTGTATGCTCATCATTGATGACATTATCCATTATGAACAAAATCCATTGCAAAAATTTTTTTTAATGGACGCACCCAATTCAATAGTGATGATTCGTTTCTCTTTCTCTCGGTAATTTATTGATTTTGTTTCACTGTTTTCAGTCTTTCAAATGTTTTTTGTTTCTTTTTTTAGTTTTGTTTTAAAATGAGTTAGTTTCTTCAACACGTTGCATGTGATGAGAGTGATATTTTTTCTTGTTGTTTAGATTTTCTAATTAATTTGTACACTGATTTCCTCGTAGAGGTAGATAATCGTTCAATCGTTCTATTACTTGTCACTTGTATTTACACTAATCAAGCCACACAATGCTTTATTAGCCCATTTAATTTGTGGGTTTAATTTAACGATCTAGATAAATGTTCGCATCAAAAAATAGTGTCCGTTTCTAGGTTGGGTGCTATTTTTGCCTTAGCCTCTTTTTATTTAGTGGTAAATTTAACAGGATTCTATATAACAGGATTTTATTCTCTTCGTGTATTTTTATTTTATTATTTTTTTGATATAACGGGTAACTGACTTCGTTTGAAATTTATTTCTTCTTTTTTATCGAAAATAAACTCTTTTTTTTATGTATCTCTCTCTCTCCCTTTGTTTCGTTACGATATTGAATGAATAAAACTTTCAGTGTTTAAAATTTTTTAGTCATAAGAATAACGTTTCTAAATTACTTGGTTTTTTTGTTTGTGTTTATGGTGAATTGTTTTATTCTTTGTGGCGCTGAGTTTCACTTTTGATTACTTTGTAAATAATGTTATGGGCTTGTGTGAACACGTGGTTGATTGTAGATTATTTCGTTTGAGTAGTTGCTTAAAATTTTGAACTATTTGCTTTGTACTTCAGTATTTTGTCTGGGACACTTGTGTTGCTATTTGGATTTTTCTTCTTTATCCTTCTATTAGCTAATATTATTGTAAAACGTTTTGTTTCTCTTTTTTTAAAAACATAAATCTAGTTGATTGTTGGTTGTGATGACGGTAGCGGCGGCGTAGTTGGTGACGTCCGTTGATTGCGGTTGTCCGGCAAAAATATTAAATCTTTTTTTATGTTATCCTTCACACTAATCTTAAATTTCCGCAAATTTTCGTTTTATTGTCAAAAAATATGCATTTGGTATGTTGAAACAGTGTAATTTTCTGAGTATGTGTTTTTAAACTCTTGACGAGGCTGTAATTTTTGGTTTAAGCTTCAGACTTTATGTCCTTTTATTTTATAAAACTATTTCGTTTAGCCTTTTTTATGTTTTGTTATTTGTATATATGTTATAAAATAGTTGGTTGATTTGTACTATTTATTGTGTGTTTGTGTGTTTTAAAATTTTATTTGTATATATAGTTTGCGGTGCGCTTGAGTTGTTTGTGAATCGACAATTTAAAATCAAAACCTTTCCTTTTTTGGTTATTACTTTGTAACTCACTTTCTTTAGCCAATCGTAACATAAAGATCCTGGCTTAAAATTCGACCGATAAAACTTTTTCTCTGCACAAAATATGCAGATGCACTTAAATTTTACACACGAGTATTCGTATAAATAATTAGCAGCTAATATTAATCGATATTAAATTAAATAAATTAGACTTGGTTTGTTGAATATAAGGTATGCGCGGTTGTTTTGTTTGATCAGAACGCAATCAAAAATTAAATTAATTTAATTAAATTGAGTTAAATTAAATATGTTGTGTGTGTGTGTGTGTGTGTGTGTGTGTTTTTATAAACAAAAAGAAAAAATGATGAACCGTTGGTGTTTTTGTGTGTTCTTCGGATGTCTCGAACAATTCGATTGATTAGAATAAGGATAAGATTGGTTGGTTATAATAAGTTAAATAAATTAGAATAAATAAGATAAGTTTAGAAACTAGCGAATTTCCTTGGTTGTTTTTTTTTTTTTTTTTTGTTTATTTCTTTTAGAACATAATTTAATTAAATTTAGTTTTGTTTCACTTTTAGTTTTAGTTTAACATGGTTTTGTTTTATTAAACTTTGGTTACGTTGCCTAATTTGGACTATATTTTGTTTGTTTTGGGAGATGCTGTTTGCCGATTGGTTTTAATTCCAAATTCCATATATGCGTATCTGTGAAATAGACAAAAAAAAAGAGTGTTAAAAAACGATTAATTCATTGAATAATAAATGTATTTTGTTCGTACAAGAATGTCTTTTGTTCAAATATAAAACAAAATGTTCAAAACAAAAAATAATGGGAGACAAGTGAATGTTGTGCGCTCTGTAAGTGTCTATGGAAAAATTCCCTGCCACTTTTCAAATGTATTTTTCATTAAGCAAATCACGACAACACTGAAATAATAATGGGTAAATGTTGTCACAAAAATGGTTGTTGTGTGAGGTCTAACTGCTCTCTTTTTATTTCATGAATTTTGCATATAACACCGAATCGGTCGTCACTGAATATTTTCGTCTAGATGCACGATACAGACAAGTCGCGATTCCATTGAGTCCCCTATCGGAAATAACGATAGTTAGCATGTTTTTCGAAGGGAGTCTCAAAGGGAAGTGAGACACAAGCACTAAACTTAGGGTCGATTTTTTCCCCATTTTGCAATCAATGCGTATGCATTTGCGTGAGGGTAACTGTATTTTATTGAGACATGATCTCCGAAATTGTGTACGCGCGCATTTTTCTTAACTTGAATGGTGTGCTCAAGGCCAAGGAGCACAATGCATGAACATGGTTTGCAATCAGACATAATCGACAGCGAACAAACAAATAACGTCAAAGAGTTGCAAAGTGAACGAATACGAAAAAGAGAGAAAGGGAGTGAAGGGAAAGGAGCAGCTTGTAGATTGAATTACCAAAAACCGATTTTTCTTTCAAATCTGTAGAAATTTTTGATGCATACAGAAAAGCAAACAAAGAAATTAATGAACAAAACAAATTCACAAAATGATAATTCATTTTAAACAATTGTGAACAATATCGCCATAGTGGTTCATTTACATTTCATTCAAACATTAAAACTTCTCTTATCTATTCTAATTTAAAACTCGTACATATGGGAATTTCAAATCTTTTGGTCGTAAAATTTGTTGAGGAAACGACCACAAAGTAACACAAATATCATGAAGTTAGTGAGTAAGGGAGAAGGAGCGGGAGAATCATATAAAAATTGAGGAAATTACAGACGAATTTTTGTAAATAGTAAAGACACGTGATATGTGCCCTACAGCAAAAAATGCTTGGTTGGGGTCAAGATTGGCTGCATTTTGCACATCACATTTATGTGAAATCGATGTTGAATATACAGTTATTCATGTACATATATTCTTTTATGTCTGTGTAATTGAAGTGAGAGAGAGAGAGAGGGCACAGAAATGGCAGCACCTGTTGTTTGATTTAAAGCCTTTTGCCGAACATATATTGATTGTATGATTGTTGATGAGCCGACATTTTGTATTCCTTGAAAGGAGTACGTTTGCATTGTAATTTACATAGTTTTGCGTAAATCGCATAGATTATTTATTTGTGATATCACATAGTTGAATGATTATGGAACATGATACATACAATTATATACGTTAAATACTGATGAAGGTGCTTTTGGCTGCATATAAATTACGATTAAATTCACATGGTAAACTAAATTCCAGTCATCATTTTCTTTTGTATACTATAAAAAAATTGTTGACGAAGTACCTGAAGTAATTGCATTCAATTGTCGAATGCATGTTTTACATAAATACTTGTGATGAGCGTCGATTTATTGCCCCTATTTAAATGTAAATCAGAGCATGTAAACTACAGGTGGATCACATCACCTCTACACAGAAAGAAAAAATGTGGTATTTTTGATTCAAGTTTGGTAGATTTAATATAAAATCAACCAAAAACGAATTAAATTTACCATTTTTTACATCTCTGAGGCATATTTTTCAAAAGAGACTATTAGTTGAATAAGTTTTACAAACTGCTTCATTACATTTACCAACTTTTCGAAACCACAGATGACGCTAGCCCATGAATTTGGTGAATGTAATAAAGCAATTGGTAAAACTTATACAACTCATAGTCTCTTTTGAAAAATATGCCTGAGAGATGTAAAAAATGGTAAATTTAATTCGTTGTTGGTTGATTTTATATTAAATCTACCAAAATTGAATTAAAAATACCACATTTTTTCTCTATGTGTATTAATGCGAATCAGATAAGAAATATCTGTTGGTTTTGTTTATAGTGACCCATATTTTGTTCCAGTTTATAATATTCAGCTGCTTCCAATTATGTTAAATATTAAGTTTTCACCTTTGAGCAGTGAGAGGATGTGAAGACTTCAAGTCTCTTTGAGCCGACGGTGGCGCACCGAATTTCAAAGGGGACGTCAATGTAATTTTACAACTCAAATCGAAACCAAACAGCGCGCCAATTTTAAAATTTGCTGTCATTTCCTCCCATTGCCTTTGAGTATTCAACCGCGATTCGGGTTGTTTTCTTTTCAATGTAATTTTGCTGATTTTGTTTTCACTTTCAATTGTTGTTTTAAATTAGAATGTAGAAAAAAAATCATTATTGTTCAAAATTTCCATACGAAAATGCGATCATTTTGATGTTACTCCCCGAAATCTATGGTTCTAGTGACGATATGTGTAATGTGTATATTTTGATTATATCGACTAAACAAAGTGGTTGTTCATATGCGATGGATAGAGTGGCATTTTGTTTACATTGATGTGCAATTTGGCTGGATGAGACAAATTCTCTCTATATATACGGTGCTATATTTGTGTTACGAGGGTTGCTCCATAATTTTTTTTAAAAACATATATAACACAGTTGTTTTTTGTCGAAAATGGTTTTATTGTTTTTCAAAATATTCCCCGAGATGATCGATACACTTTTGCATTCGATGAAACCATTTGTCATAGCATTCGTGCCACTCCGAAACTGATATCTCCAAAACGTGTGTTTTGAACGCTTCAACTGCTTCTTCTGGTGTCGAAAATCGTTGACCACGTAGTTTTTTCTTCACGCTTGGGAACAAAAAAAAGTCTTTGGGTGCCATGTCAGGACTGTACGGTGGATGACCCATCAGTTCGATGTTTTGACCGGTCAAAAATCGAGTAGTTTGAAAAGATGTGTGAGAGCTCGCATTATCGTGATGAAGAATTATTTTGCGACGGTGGTTGTTTTTTCTTATTTCACCAAACACTTCGGGCAAACAAATGGTGGTATACCAATCAGAATTGACGGTCTTACGATCCTCTAGTGGAACGGTTGCCACATGACCACTTCTCCCGAAAAAACAGGCGACCATTCGCTTCGAAGTGCTTCTTGCTCGAACAACTTTCGTTGGGTTATCTTCATTTTGGAAGACCCATACAGTCGACTGCTGTTTCGTTTCGGGCTCATAGGCATATATCCACGATTCGTCACCAGTGACGATTTTATTAACGTCTTTTGAAGCACCACGATTGAATTTCTTGAGCATTTCTTTACACCAACTCACACGAGCCATTTTTTGTTCGTCGGTCAATTTATGTGGGATCCAACGAGAGCAAATCTTTTTTACGGCTAAATGTTCATGCAAAATTGTATGTATGCTGTGGGATGAAATGCCCAAAGATGCCTCAATCTCACGGTAGGTCACATGACGATCTTCCATAATCAGTTTTCTGACAGCATCGATGTTTTGTGGCACAACAGCCGATTTTGGACGACCTGTATGAAACTCGTCTTTGAGCGAACTACGACCGCAACGGAATTCTCGGTACCAGTTATAAATTGTCTGAAGGGTTGGTGCTTCATTGCCAAAGGCCAAATGAAGTCGATCGAAACACTGTTGTTGAGATAATTTACTTCGAAAATCGTAGTAAATCATTTTACGAAAATCTTCACGTGTAAAATTCATTTTTTTGTTGAGTCGCAGTTTACCAGTCACTGTAAACAATACAAATAGCGTTCGTACGACAAAAGGTTCAGGGCACGAATACATACCAAAACATCAAACTTTACGAATATGACAATGGTTTACATCGGGCAACACTATAAGTACCATTTTAAAAAAAATTATGGAGCAACCTACGTAGGCACATAGCAAAACGGAGAGTTAAAAGACACACGAGATGCATCAATGTACATAATATAAACAGCGGAGACGCTTGATTGTGGCAAAAACGACAATGTAAGTTGTTATTTCTTTATCTCGGACGCAAATTGATTGCCTGCTGTGTATGTGCGGCGCATAACTAATACGATACAATAATGAATGAATGTGATCTTGAAAGTGAAAATTGCATAATCGTTCGATTGAATGAGGCTTATGTGTTGGTCAAACAATGATTCGATTACACACGAGACATTTTGAATGTTTGTTCGAATGGATTGTCTCAAGAGTGACGAGATAAAAGGTCATTTTACAATTTATAAACATTTCCACAGATAATTTAATTCACTGGTATTTTTATTGAGTGCTCTACAGTGGTCAAGATGCCTGCAAATATATTTTTGGGTTCATTTTCTATTCATGAGCAGCGTTCGTTGAATTGTATTTCATAAGACTTTACTATGATCGTAAATTCAATGTCAATTTTACGTTAATATAGAATGTTTGTACAAAGCGAAAGAAAAAAAAAGTTTATTTTCGGCCTAAGTTTCGGGGATGAGGGCGAAAAAATATGAAAACACTCGACGATAAAGCATTGAATTCCGCGAAAACTGATTCATACATACTTTGTCATAGGCATGAGGGCTTGTTCGAATCGAAACAGTAAACATAATATGAATACATATGCCCAACTCCGGCTTCAGTGAAATTTTTGTTGTTGCTATCATTATGTATTTTGATATACGTGATATACCGAAAAATTTCCTCATGTAACAAATAATATGCGGTGGGTACAATAATAGACTCAACGCTCTCATTTAGCCACGATTGGCTGGAGTGTACAGCCGATACAATTTGTGTATAGTACAATATATATGGTAACAAAATCTCTTTATGTTATTTTGGCGGCGTAGAATTTGGTATGTATATGTTGTGTATGAAACACAAGAAACCATCAAAAATACTCACGTTCAAACGAAATGGTTTGGTGAAAGACCTAGATGAAATAAACAACAA